CCCCAAAACCCCAAAACCCCAAAACCCCAAAACCCCGTGAGATTACATTACAGGTTAAGATGTAAAACTAGATTTGAAATTTGTTATTAGAAGCATATATTCGACAGATTGATTATTTGATCCTATTCAAATTACTTTTTCATTTCTAAATCACTCCTTGTTTCTAAAATCTAAGCGCATCTTGATCTCCAGCATATGAAAAGTTAGGCACTCTAGTCATATTATTAACATCACTAAATGGATCAGAGTTGATGTCATGGGTCACAAATTTGTTCGATTTCTCATCATACACATAATAATCACCTCCGCCATCATCAACTGTTTTAATCTCTTCTTCTTAGTTCCTTTATGGTCCCCCAGCTTCTTCATAACTTCTATTATCTTCCTCTTCTTCATCGCTATCATTAGCATCCATTGGGAGATTTGATTTTTCAATTGGCCTTATGTAGGGTTTTGGCATCTTTTGCTTGAATTCAGACACCATTTTCCAATCAATGCTCTTGAAAAACGGATGTTTCTTCAATTAGCGAATGCTTAGTCTACCTTCTGGATTTGTAACAATAAGTCTTTAAACCATGTCTCTGCTCTCAGGTGTAAGTTGCATAGGAATCTTATAATCTGACCTAAGAATTCTGTCCTCAAGATCTGGTACATCAGGTGGAAAAGCTGGAGTCCCAGTCATAATTTCATAAGCAAGCAATCCAAAGAGATAAAGATCTACACTCTTATCATAACCATGCTCATTGATTACCTCTGGAATCTAATAACTTCTACCCCCACCTAGCATAGTATTGGTGAGTTTCTTTTCAAACATTCCTTCCTTAGATAATCCAAAATCTGTAATCTTAATATGTCCATCTTTATCCAAAAGAATATTATCTAACTTTATATCTCTATGAATGATTCCATGCTTGTGCAACTCTTCAATGGCTGTCAATATCTCAGCTAGATATAGTCTCGCTTCACTTTCAGAGAGTCTTTACTTTTATGATAAAAGCCCTCTCATATCTCCTCCTGCACAGTACTCAGAGACAATATAAAGCTTATCAAAAGTTTGGAAAGCATATTTCAATGATACTATGAATTTACTCATGACTTTTCTTTAGATCTCCTTCTCAGTTAGGACTAAATTTATTAATCCATTAAACTTTCTCTTTTTCATGATCTTCATGGCAAAATACTGCTCTTCTTTCTTTACTAATATTACTTCTCCAAAAGCGCCTCGTCCAAGAGGCATCAAATGTTCAAAATCTTATGGCTTTAGTTTGTACTATCCGAGATCCCCAGATTAATGTGAGAATAAAGTGAATGTTAACTATTTGTCAAACTCGATAATTATGGTATGTTTTCCTTCAATGGCATAGTCCAGAGGAGTTTTTTTGGCAACATCTACACAATTGATTGCTTGATAGCATCTCTATGTTAGCAATTTATATGCCTCAAGATCTCCTCTTTAACAAGCAATGTGAAGAGCTGTCTATCCTTTGCCATCTTAGACCATTACATCAGCTGTGTTTTAAATCAGCAAATTGATGATTTTTAGATCTCCTTGTTTGGTAGCATAATGAAGAGCTGTAAAGCCAGTCTACGGCTCTTGATAATTGATACTCGCACCCAAGTCATCATTGTAATTAGAATCGATTAATTTTGCAACTTCTTCAAAATTACCTTTTTTAGCATTATTTATCATTGCTTGACTGCTCTTAAGTTTGTTTGACCACCATTTTTCCCATACTCCCTTATTGTTATTGATCAATTCATCAACTTTGACTTTAGAATTTTCATTTTTATTTAGTGAAGTCTTCGCTTTCTAACTATTAGGGACAACATCCAATCCTTCATGAAGCTATGCCATCAATTACATATCAGAAGTCAAGTTCTCCATAAATCCATCAACTTTGATCTGTTAAAAAGCTTTGTCAGCCTTAAACAGTTCAGGCCTCGATTCCTTAATCGTGAAGTAAGCTGACTGAAATTACTCTATGTCTCCTTGAGACTGTTATTAATCATCGCTTCCAAATCTCATTTATTTGCGCCCCTTTCTCCTTCTTGTAGATTAATATATTTTTGGTATTTTATTATAATGATCAGATAGTAATAATTACTCTCATTTTACTCAAATTAATCATAATTTTAATATTAATTTACTTCATAATAGTTTCCTTCTTATAAATTTAAACACATCTAAAATAAGTCAATTCACTTTTTAGTACTCCTAACAGTTAAACTTTAGTGTAATTGTGGCTACTATTCCTCTTACTATTTAGGTGACTATTGCTGCTTATCCTTGAATGTTACCAGTCTTGAAAAATGAGGGGTACTTCCTGAACCTTTGTATTAACCAGATTAAAGGTAATGATTGAAAACTTTCTAAGACTCTCGTATTCTTGAAATTCTCAAAAGACGTGAATTGAGATCTTGAAGTTCGAGCTCCAGGTTAAAACTTATCATCTTATTAAATTTTTGCATTCTGTTGCCAGATTTTGCTTTCATACTTTTAATGTGCTTCTTTGATTTAAGTTTCTACTCAAAATTCTTAGATTGCATTCTTGAAAATTTTGGGCTCTTTTCATACTAAGAATAATCATCAGGTATTTTTATTGAGGACTAATACCTCTAAAGTCCATAATCTAAATCATCATTAATTGTAACCTGTCTGTGAAAGCTCTTTTCTTGACTCTTTTTATTAATAGATATGTTGAGACAGGAGGTTTTGGTTGGACTTTCAACCTCATCTATCTTTGTTCTATTTTAGTACTAATTTTAACTTTTCTTTACTTTGATTAGCTTTGGTGGCCGAAACACTGTTCTATCCAGTTTTTTATCAGGACTAGTTACAGTCATATTACTTTTTTGAATATCTTTTTGTTATAAGTCTGATTTTTCTAAGCTACGTCTTATAATTTTTACTTCTTTAGCTGATATGTATGGCTTTTTCTAATCTTTAACTGATATTACAGTCTAATTTACCAGTTGATATGGACTGCTACTAGAATTTCTAAGGTTCAAAATACTATGATTCCTAGAATTCTAAAGTTAGCTCTCTTATCTCTGATCTTTTTATAATAACATTAAGTTCTTTTTAAAAACTTCTCTCCTCACAAATGGCTTCACAGTTTTTATATTAAATTCCTTTACTATCAGCGGTTTCTAGTTATACGATTTGTACATATTTTAATTTCTAATTCTAGTCACATCACTTATTGATCCCATTTAGCTTTAATTTCTTTGATACAAAGTCAGACTTGATGTTTTATCTCGATTGCTGCTATTATTACCACAGATAGTCCTTTAATTGCTCTACTATTGTTCCAGTTTTTAGGTAAGATTGCTAAAAGAATCAACTGATTGGTATAAAACATAGTCAGAGTTATCTAATTATTCGCCAATGCTAATTTAGACAGTCTTAAACTGATTTTCCTCTCTAGTTTATGGTCTTTAACCATATTAATCTACAGTCTCTGAAAGCGTAAGCAAGTTTCTATTAATGTTATTTCTCATTAATATTTATTTTAATCTTCCAAATTTATTCCAAACTTTATTCTTTGGGGTTTTGGGGTTTTGGGGTTTTGGGGATCTCCATTGATTGTAG